CCCTTGTACTAATAAAGATTCTCTATCTTTTTTAAATTTTTTAATCCATATCTTTTTTATCATTATTCTATAATTTGTTTAATATCTGCAATTGCATTTAGTTTCTATCTGCATATTCACAAACACATTCAAACTAGAAGCAAGGAATATAGATATGTAGTTATTATATAAATTTCAATTTAAGCCTTGAAAAGAAGTATAGAACCCTCAAATAATTTTCAAATTATTATATTTTTATTTGTCCTAAGACATTTAAAATCATTTAATTACCATCATTTTATAATTATTTGTTCAACTTATATTTTATTTATATTCTTTTAAAAATTTACATTATTTAAAGGAAAGTAACTTTAAACAGGATAAATCAAGGGAAGTAACCCAATAAATACACAAAGTTTTTATTACACAACGGCAGTTAGCCTGAGATAAAAATCGTTGATTACCAGTATGTTTGACACCCAAGCTGACAAGTGAAGCCATATAATTATGCATGTTATTAATTTACAGTTGAAATATAACTTCAGGTAATGTCAGTTACACCAGATGTCTGTGATGATAATGTTAAATTGGGCAGAAATTTTTCATTCATGAAAAATTTCATACACAGGATTTTTTTCTCTTCAAAGGGAGGTCAGGAGGAGACCACTGAAAACGAGATTATTGTACTCCTGTCGGGAGGTTCACATGTATGTGGTATAAACATTTTAATAGGTACCAACCTTCACCCTTATCTGAAACAATAGTGTAACATCACAACATAGAAAGACACACCATAAAAAATCAATTGAAATGGCTTAACTCAATCAAAGGACAATATTAACACAAGTGAATCTACACTGAACGAATAAATTTGATCTATGACACAATGTAAATACAAAATCAATAAAAAATTAGGGGTTAGTTGTTAAACAATTAAAGAAAAATAACCATAACCTTGAACAAAATGCCCCAAATTGAATAATGTACACAGGTAAATGAAAATAATTTTGTTGTAAGGTATACTGTATAAATGGAGAAAGGAAATATTTTTAACAAAATAAATAATTTTGTTGTTTATAGTACGAGAACAGAAGTGAATGCTTGTCATTTATGCAATTTACACTTTAATAGTAGCTCCTATAGTTTTTTGAAACAATGGCAAGAAAATTACCCTTGTAGATTTCGAAAAAAAGCAGGCTAATGCCGCTACAAGGCAGCAATCGCACCGCAAAGTGGAAAGGGATTAATATAAGTTGCAATAACTTGTTTCCCAATCCACTATAGATAAATATGTTTAAATTAATGACAACATTATTTGTTATTGGTATAATACCAGTGGTGTTCTTGATTTATGATTTATGATTGCACAATACTAAACCCTTACAGGAGAAAATGTGCTTTGTTTTCATTTGATGAAGACATAATTTTTCTATTAGTTTCATTGAAGTCTGGAGCTGGCATGTCAGTAACTGCTAGTAGTCTTTTGTTAATTTACGTTGATCATTGCCATTTTACCATTTTGCTTAGTTTTTTCTGTTACCTATTCTAACATTGGATTGGACTTTTAATCTGAGTTTTACTGTGAGTATTGCTATGTGTTTGTTTATTCCACATTAGCTAGTCTATAGAGGTATAGGGAGAGGGTTGAGATATTACAAAACCTGTTTAACCTTGCCACATTTGGTTTATTCTGGCTATTCCTACATTTTATGTGTATTTTTTTTAACTTTGGTTCATTTATATGTTTCAGAGTTTAGTGTGGTGCCCATTTTGCTGAACTAGTATACATTATTTTTTAGGGGCCAGCTGAAGCCTACCTCTGGGTGCAGGATTTCCTCTCTCATTTGTTAATTTCATGTTGATTATTACCTACTACCATTGGATAGTCCTCAAACTGATATGAAATGATAGTTATACAAATTCATACAAAATATCATTGATTAATCACAAGTAGATTCTATCACACTAACTCAAGTACAAAACTTAACATTGAAAATTGTTAATGAATTCAGTCACTTGACCATAACATGGGGGACAGGGCCTAAAAATAGTCATCAAACTGATTAGAACTGATAGAGATAACCTTTTTTATCAATGATCTTTCGCAAGTAGTTCCTATCTTACTAACTTAAGCAGAACACTGAACAATTGATGAGGCCATCGTCATGGTCCCTGTAAAAGCAATCCCTGTCTTGCTTTCTGCAACTGTCTTGGTAATCGAGACAAAAACTATGTAATATCAGGGTAGATAACTCAAGGAAGCAACAGAAAATTTACTAATTTTGATATGTAGCATGAAGAAAAGTTTGGTGGCCCACCCAAATGCTTTTTTTTTTCTTTTCTGAAAGCAGCTATCTTATAATATTTTATTTAAAATTTCAACATTTTGTTTTCTTCACATAAAGTTCTTTTTCTTTTTATAATCTTGAACACGATTAATATGATGATAAAATATATGTTGATTTTTGACAGTTGTTATTAATCACCAAATCCTGCCTTAAGTGTAAAAAAAGACATCTAAAGATTGAATTTTTCAGGATGATAATAGCATGGGGAAACTGTGAAAAAAAAGTGATTCATTAAATTTCTTATAACTGTTGATTGAAAAGAGATACAGAAGTTCAGTTTGTTGTAAAATCATATTTATAGGTTATAGGTTAGATTGGCCTATTTTCATTTGCAATTTTTTAAGTGAAAAGTGGAATATAAATCCCTTTCTCGTTACAACTGGAAACCACATGCAGAGCTCAAATAAATTACACTGTTCCTTTAATATTGCCTACTCCTTTTTATATTTGCAATATTTTTTTTTAAATCAGGTTTAATTTTGTTTAGTAATGATCTTCAGGTGGCATTTGCATACGGCTTCATGAAAATATGTACAGTACTGAGTAGGTTCCACAATCAGAACTACAAAAGTTGGCCCAGCCTGTTCACAACTATTTTTCTGCCATATTGAAATTTAGGTGTAAACACAGAGTTCAGAAAAGTTCAAAATAATGTGGCTATATTTCTATGAGACCTGGGTAAATTTTGTTCTTGTTTTTATTAGGATTAATTATGATCTGTTAACTTTCGACAGATTGTTTTCTTAGCAGTCAAGTAAAGTGCCAGCATTTTGACTATATTTGTTTTATTTTCAACACTAATATATTGACTACTTATTAACAATTTTTCGTAAACAATAATTATTTTTTGCATTTAATTAATTTTTTGGAAATTTTAAATCCACCAATTTTAACGGTATTCCATATGCTGACTTGTTTGCCGAAATCTATTGTTTTCATTTACCCAAGGCTTACTAATCACTTGACAAGGTAAGCTGTCAATCAAAACAAAATAAAATGCTCCGCTGGGGCGCAGCTTGATACGACCACAGAGTTTGAACCCTGAACAGTTGGGGCAAGTATGGACACAACATTCAAGCTTGATACAGCACTGAATTTGGATTGTAATTAAATATTTGACACAGCATAGGTTTCTGACACAGAATGAAAGTGGTCTAAGAACTTAAAAAATTTTAAATTACCTATTCAAACCATATCATTATTATTTGCTTTTATATATAAATCAGAAATAACCAATTTAAAATGGAAAATTCTAAAGAAAAAAAAGGAAAAAAAATCCCCCCCCCCCCCAAATTTTTTGAACCCCCTTATGATTCATCACCCCAAACTCAATCCCAGCCTTCCCTTTGTGGTATGGTACTTGCAGTACAATTTCAGAGAGATCCATACACTTGAACACAAGTTATTGTCTGGAAACTAGAAAAATGCTTGTTTTTTGGTCCCTTTTTGGCCCCAAATTCCTAAACATTTAGGGCAATTACCCCCAAACTCAAACCCAGCTTTCCCTTTGTGATATGGAACCTTGCAGTACAATTTCATAAAGATCCATACACTTACACACAAGTTATTGTCCTGAAACTAGAAAAATGCTTGTTTTTTTGCCCTTTAATGGCCCCTAATTCCTAAAATTTTAAGGGAATTACCCCCAAAATCAATCCCAGCCTTCCCTTTGTGGTATGGTACCTTGCAGTACAATTTCAGAGAGATCCATACATTTGAACACAAGTTATTGTCTGGAAACTAGAAAAATGCTTATTTTAGGCCCCTTTTTAGCCCCTTCTTCCTAAGCTTTTTGGTCAATTACCCCCAAACTCAAACCCAGCTTTCCCTTTGTGATATGGAACCATGTAGTACAATTTCATAAAGATCCATACTCTTACACACAAGTTATTATCATGAAACTAGAAAAATGCTTGTTTTTTGCCCCTTTTTGGCCCCTAATTCCTCAAATTTGGAGGCAATTACCCCCAAAATCAATCCCAGCATTCCCTTTGTAATATGGAACCTTGTGATACAATGTCAGAGAGATCCATACACTAACACACAAGTTATTGTCATGAAACTAGAAAAATGCTTGTTTTTTGCCCCTTTTTGGCCCTTAATTCCTAAAATTTGGAGGCAATTACCCCCAAAATCAATCCCAGCATTCCCTTTGTGATATGGAACCTTGTGGTACAATGTCAGAGAGATCCATACACTTACACACAAGTTATGTCTGGACGTTACAAAAATGCTTATTTTTGGCCCCTAATTCCTCAACTGTTAGTACCATAACCCCCAAAATCAATCCCCACCTTCCTTTTGTGTGTATTGAACCTTATGGTAAAATTTCATAGAGATCCATTCACTTAAACTAAAGTTAGAGTGCGAAAACTAATGTGTCTTCGGACGACGACGACGACGACGCCAACGTCATACCAATATACGACCACAAAAATTTTTTTGCGGTCGTATAAAAATCAATAATCCGCTTTTGGGGCAATGTAATCTCAACAGATTGATCAGTTTCCAGTCCAATTAGTATAATAGTCCCAGATTTTAGATATAAACATTTTGATTTAGTATAGAAAAATAAACATTTTGATTTAGTATAGAAAAATAAACATTTTGATTTAGTATAGAAAAATTCTTAATTCCACTAGCAATCTACCATCCTCAATCCTTTATATTTACCTAAATTGTAAACAAATGGACAATTATCAGAGCCTGATGCGATGCCATCTTTGTCTGGATCGGAATCACATATGTCACCGATTCCGTCTCCGTCTCCATCAGTTTGGTCAGTGTTGGCATCGTTTACACAGTTATCACAGACATCACCTACACCGTCTCCATCGGAATCAGTCTGCACAATGTTACTCACAAACACACAGTTATCCTGAAACATCAATAAACTATACAGAATCAGTCTGCACAATGTTACTCACAAACACACAGTTATCCTGAAATATTATCAATAAACTATACGGAATCAGTCTGCACAATGTTACTCACAAACACACAGTTATCCTGAAACATCAATAAACTATACGGAATCAGTCTGCACAATGTTACTCACAAACACACAGTTATCCTGAAACATCAATAAACTATTCGGAATCAGTCTGCACAATGTTAATTTCAAACACACAGTTATCCTGAAACATTATCAATAAACTATACGGAATCAGTCTGCACAATGTTACTCACAAACACACAGTTATCCTGAAACATTATCAATAAACTATACGGAATCAGTCTGCACAATGTTACTCACAAACACACTGTTATCCTGAAATATCAATAAACTATATAGAATCAGCCTGCACAATGTTACTCACAAACACACAGTTATCCTGAAACATCAATAAACTATACGGAATCAGCCTGCACAATGTTAGTCACAAACACACAGTTATCCTGAAACATCAATAAACTATACCGAATCAGTCTGCACAATGTTACTCACAAACACACAGTTATCCTGAAACATCAATAAACTATACGGGATCAGCCTGAACAATGTTACTCACAAACACACTGTTATCCTGAAACATCAATAAACTATACGGAATCAGCCTGCACAATGTTACTCACAAACACACAGTTATCCTGAAACATCAATAAACTATACGGAATCAGCCTGCAAAATGTTACTCACAAACACACTGTTATCCTGAAACATCAATAAACTATACGGAATCAGTCTGCACAATGTTACTCACAAACACCCAGTTATCCTGAAACATTATCAATAAACTATACGGAATCAGCCTGCACAATGTTACTCACAAACACACAGTTATCCTGAAACATCAATAAACTATACTTACTGAAAAAGGAATGAATTACTGAAATGAAAGATTTGTTTGACTGATCATGTCCAAAGTCAGTGGTTGTTGTTGGCAGCTGTCTCCATATTTGCTTGCCTGTTTTTCAGATAAATAAGGCCATTATTCAATTGAATTGCTTAACATTTCATCATGCAATGGCGTCTGGTGGCTTAATTACTTCACTCTATTGGTTATGCACCTTGTTAAAGAATGTACCTAATATTGTTTTAAATCCTTTGGTCTATTATGACAATTTGACAAATGGAAACATTAGTTAACTCAATCAGCAACACCTTCCTTCATTAAGAAGAAAATCTGAAAAGAATCTATTGAAGTATTTATGATGCTGTCAGCTGTTTCTTGATATCTAAAATTATTTGCCAGAATTTTGAATAATGTAACAAATGAGAAATCAGTATTACACAAATAACAGTACTGTATGAAAAAATTCCCCATTTTACCTTCCTAAATGAAAAACTGTGTGCTACTGTTTATTAAATCCTCATGCATTTAAGAGCAGCAAATCTGATGTAACTTTATGATTTCAGTCATACATATTTTTGTAGCTTTTGACTGCTGATCACTGAAAATTTAGTTTTTCAAAATTATATGCAAATAATGTGAAAATTGTGTTAAGGGCCAAGGAAGCAATTTTTGTATCAATCAATTGACATGTTTTGTTGATTTAATAGTTTTGATCATTTGTAGACAGTTTTCTAATACATGTATAAAGTTAAATGCATTGACACCAAAAAATTAAGTACATTCTTCATTTCCTAATTTGTATTTTAATAAAAAAAACTGTTTATACAAATAAAAATTACATCCAAATCACCTATAACATCATTATCATCATCATAATCACAATGACACTTACATCTAAATCAACGATTACATCAATATCATCATCATGATCACGATAACACTTACCGGTACATCTAAATCACCGATTACATCTTTATCTTCATCATAATCACAATAACACTTACATCTAAATCACCGATTACATCATTATCATCATCATAATCACAATAAGACTTTGTTTAGGGGCCAGCTGAAGGACGCCTCCGGGTGCGGGAGTTTCTCGCTGCATTGAAGACCCATTGGTGGCCTTTGGCTGTTGTCTGCTCTATGGTCGGGTTGTTGTCTCTTTGACACATTCCCCATTTCCATTCTCAATTTTATTAGATTTAAATCATCGATTATATCATTATCATCATCATAATCACCGATTACATCATTAACATCATCGTAATCACAATAAGACTTACATCTAAATCACCGATTACATCATTATCATCATCATAATCACATGCATCACCCATTCCATCATTGTCATTATCCTCCTGTCCAGAGTTTGGATCATTTGCACAATTGTCCTGCAAAATAATTACCGTATTGTATATAACACCAATTGACATTAAAAATTAAAATGTTAAAGCAGTTTCAATATTTAAATTATTTCAAAGTCAATGACTTCAAAACAGAGGTTTAAAGCCATTTAAAACCTGTCAGATGCATATATACAATGAATTGTTTATAACAATTTCACACACTACTATAGCAGGGATGTCTACTGGGTAAACTAATCAAGTACTCATCGTTTCTGTCTCTTGTCAACTATTATTGGGGGCAGTCAGATTTGCAACATTGCAAATTACAGTCTTGCAGATGAAAATATTTGTTCCTACGGTACCAATGTTATGGATTTACTAAGACATGTTAAATTGTTAGCCTAGGCTTAGCCTATCGTATTTTCTGAGACATTTTAATGACAATTTAGCACAAGCAATCGAAATAAAATCTATTCTATTTACTAGTATAATTAATCAGTGATGCCTATTTAATTTTCAAATTTTATATAAACTAGAGGCTCTCAAGAGCCTGTGTTGCTCACCTTGGTCTATAGGCATATCAAACAAAGGACATTCTCTAATATTGTGGACAAGAATAGACCATATGACAAAAATCTCTATTTTGTTGATCTTGTATTACTGATCTTTTAGTCTGTTTAGTTTCTTTGGCTTAATTTTATTAAAAGATCTTGCCTTGCTGATCATTTTTGTGATTTAGAGTGTTTATTTATCTATCATAATGAAGCTTAACAGAAAAAATTTTCTCTCTAATTATCATAGTTTTAATGATAAAAGGCAAAAATGAAAAAAAAAATCGTAAAATTTATCATTTATAGGCAATAACTCCTATAAGAATTTGCCTTACATTTTTGACATATATATGGATAATTGGTAGAGCTCATTCTTCTGAACATACTTTTTCATTTCAGATCTTCTCTATTTATAACGGTTCAAAAAATAATAGACAAAACTTGCTGATTACCCCCTATGTTCTATTTATAGCAATGACAGCCATGTTGGTTGGAAGGTAGGGTTATTAGACACATTTTTTAACAAGATACCATAATGATGATTGTTGCCAAGTTTGGTTAAAGGACAAAGTATGGTAAGGGCTGTTTCTGGCCCTCCTTTTTCCAGAAATTTGAAACTTTGAAGTTTGAACCCATCCCGCCTGTAGAATGAACTGCAGTATTTGCTTGTCCGCATAGCACCTTATTTTATTGTGTTATGAGCTGAAATCTGTGCAAACTAAGACCTTGAAAAGGCAATGAACGACGAAAAGTGTAAAAAATCTACAATCTAATCATGTTTGGAGATGAAATTTGACATCAGCGCCAACGTAGACCATCCTGAAATTTTCAACCATCAACTCTACTTCTGTATCTTTCATTTGATAAAATATGATGGTGGTCTACGTTGGTGCTCATGTCTTAAATTTTAAAAAAATGCTAAATTTAGGCCTTATATGACAGAAATTACAAATTTTTAAACCGTTGCTAGGTTGTTGCTAAGCATTTATTAAAATGAAATTAAATTAACTATTCATTTGCAACTTGAAGTTATTGTTAAACAATGAATTCTATTATGAGTAAAGCTAATTTGTAATGAAAAAAACAATGCATAAGTGCTAATTTGGCTATTTAATAAAACCGTTGCTAGGCAACCTTCCTTTCACAGGAACACAAAAAAATCATTGTTTTGTCTTGTTTCTACACAAAGGCTATCAGTAATCTATATATAAACTTATTCTGGAAGGGGACCAAAAAACGCCCCTTATCATACATTTGTACCTTGTCCTTTGTCTCAGTAGTTTCAGAGAACAATTTTGTAATAAATTACAAAAATTACCAAAAATTGTCAAATATTGACTATGAGGCGCAATATCTCCAAAAGGGGTCAATTGACCATTTTAGTCTTGTTGCTAATCAATTTTGCTGTGTACAGTGTATCTCTATCTATTATAATATTCAAGATAATAGCCCAAAACTGTAAAATTTCTATAAAATTACCAATTCTGAGGCAGCAACCCATCAACAGGTTGTCTGACATGTCTGATGGTTTTAAAATTTCAGGGCAGATAGGGGTTGACCTGATGAATATTTTATGCATGTCAGATTTGCTTTCAATGCTTTAGTTTCAGAGATACAAGCAAAAAATGCATTTTACCCCCATGCTCTATTTTTAGCCATGGCTGCCATCTTGCTTGATCGGCAGGGTCATCATATTAATTTTCTAAACTAGATACCCTAAAGATGGTTTAGGCCAAGTTTGGTTTCATTTGGCCCTGTAGTTTCAGAGGAGAAGAGTTTTGTAAATGTTAAGGGACGATGACGATAGAAGACGGACACAAAGTGACAGCAATATTCTAACAGAAAACGGATGGAGTATCGTATTTGGTATTCGATACTAGAATACTTCAGTACTCATTGACATCCCTACTATAATAATATAAACTTATTCAAAACCTTAAACCTGACCACTGGAATAAGGACAATGATATACATCAACTACAATGTTTTTTTAAATCATAGACAAAACTTGTTTTAGGGGCATTTTAGTCAGTCATTTTGTTTGGCAGATGGGGTCATCAGACACATTTTCAAACTAGATGCCCAATGATCATTGATGATTTTGGCCAAGTTTGGTTAAATTTGGCCCAGTTAATTCAGAGAAGAAGTTTTTTGTAAATCTTTAGGAATGAGGACAAAAAAACGTAAAGTGATGAGAAAAGCTTACTGAAGATTCTGACATGACAAAAGACAAAATGGTGAAAAGGCAGGGAGTACTAGACATGTTCTTGAAAAAATAATAGTTTCACAAATCATGATAAAAGCCTTATTAAATACATTTATTTTTTCAGTTTTTTTATAAAAATGACCCTTTTTCATAGTACCATTGCCAACAGTTTTATGAAGGTTTTACTGTACTTACTCTACGACAAGATGGACCTGTACAGGAAATAGTCAGTGTTGGCACCCCATCTTGGTCAGGATCCTCTCCACAAATATAACCATTGCCTGCCCAACCAGTCTTGCACTACAAAGATACACTGGTAATTTAGATAACTTATAAGCGTTACTCATAACAACAGTGTTCATGATCATAAAACTATACACCTTCTTCAGGAATCCAATCAAATGCAATAATTCCATAGACAATGAATTTAACATGATCTAAGAATTTCAGTAAGGGCCTAATTTGACCTGAAATAGGCCTTAGAACACAGTTATTTTGTAGTACATTTCTTTTAGACCAAAAACACAAATTTACAAAATCCCACCTGCTATATCCAATCAAAGTGCATGTAAGCACTCAAGGGAAAAGATTGCATTAATCTATCAGTGGGAAGTAAAATTAAATATTGCATTGTCAATTAAGCATTGGTTGTAGTTGATTCAACTACAATTCTGGACGATGGGAGATAACTCCACTTTTGAAAGATGACTTTAACAATAACATCATTTATATTTTTAAAACATAAATTAAATTCCTGCACCTTGCAAAAGTTATGTAATTTTCTTGACTGGTGTAAAATCATTTTGTGACTTGAATATCTGAGCATATATTACATTGATAAATTTCTTGAAATGTTCATAGATAGGATGTATAGAATGTTATGATCAATGCACTATATATATTGTGTATCAAAAAGGTAGTGATAAGCCTAGGAAGATTTAGATATCAAGTTAGTAACTGTAAAGAAGTGAAATTTTCACTTCTGGGTTCTTTTAGTAAGGGGGACAATCAAATAGATCTGTCAATTGGGTGTATCAAATAAAACTAAATAAAAATTTGCATTTAATAATACCACAACCACAAGACAAACACAAATCATAAATATACACATATGAAACAACCTCTCCATGTCCTCTCTTCTATCTCACATAGACAATGACAAATACACGGAACTAAATACACATAACTAAAAGTTAAAATTAAAAGTAAATAAATAAATAAGTCCATCACAGTCCATAAATCACAAGTCTATATCAATCCAGAAATCTCAAAGGTTGTTCTCGTTTAAGGCGAAGTGTACGTAATTGCACGCCTCTAGCGGAATTTGGGATAAAAAACGTGCGTCGTTAGTTACGCGGGTTATCTCCCCTACTCCAAGAAAGGAAAAATGGGCACATGAAAGAAAAATGACTTCGTGCGGTGTATCATGAATTCAAACAAGTATTCATGTGCTATCTCAAAACTTCAAAGAAATTATTAGAAGGACTCCAATCTGTAATCTGAGTATCCTATTGTGAGTTAGTCTGACTCTATTACCACTGTTTTTGTTTTAGACACGCAGGAGCAAGTACACAATACGACTCGTGTTTATTTCAACACAAGGTAATAAAATGCTCCGCTGGGGCACAGCTTGATACGACCGCAGAGGTCGAACCCTGAACAGTTGGGGCAAGTATGGACACAACATTCAAGCTTGATACAGCACTGAATTTGGATTGTAATTAAATATTTGACACAGCATTTCTTTCTGACACAGAATGAAAGTGGTCTAAGAACTTAAAAAATTTTAATTTACCTATTCAAACCATATCATTTTTATTTGCTTTTATATATAAATCAGAAATAACCAATTTAAAATGTAAAATTTTAAAGAAAAAAAAGGAAAAAAAAAATCCCCCCCCCAAATATTTTGAACCCCCTTATGATTCATCATCCCCAAACTCAATCCCAGCCTTCCCTTTGTGGTATGGTACCTTGCAGTACAATTTCAGCGAGTTCCATACACTTGAACACAAGTTATTGTCTGGAAACTAGAAAAATGCTTGTTTTTTGGCCCCTTTTTGCCCCAAATTCCTAAACGTTTAGAGCAATTACCCCCAAACTCAAACCAAGCTTTCCCTTTGTGATATGGAACCTTGCAGTACAATTTCATAAAGATCCATACACTTACACACAAGTTATTGTCCTGAAACTAGAAAAATGCTTGTTTTTTTGCCCTTTTATGGCCCCTAATTCCTAAAATTTTGAGGGAATTAACCCCAAAATCAATCCCAGCCTTCCCTTTGTGGTATGGTACCTTACAGTACAATTTTAGAGAGATCCATACACTTGAACACAAGTAATTGTCTGGAAATTAGAAAAATGCTTATTTTTGGCCCCTTTTTTGCCCCTTATTCCTAAACTTTTTTGGTAATTACCCCCAAACTCAATTCCAGCTTTCCCTTTGTGATATGGAACCTTGTAGTACAATTTAATAAAGATCCATACACTTACACACAAGTTATTGTCATGAAACTAGAAAAATGCTTGTTTTTTTCCCCTTTTTGGCCCCTAATTCCTAAAATTTGGAGGCAATTACCCCCAAAATCAATCCCAGCATTCCCTTTGTGATATGGAACCTTGTGATACAATGTCAGAGAGATTCATACACTAACACACAAGTTATTGTCATGAAACTAGAAAAATGCTTGTTTTTTGCCCCCTAATTCCTAAAATTTGGAGGCAATTACCCCCAAAATCAATCCCAGCATTCCCTTTGTGGTATGGAACCTTGTGGTACAATGTCAGAGAGATCCATACACTTACACACAAGTAATGTCTGGAAGTTACAAAAATGCTTATTTTTGGCCCCTAATTCCTTAACAGTTGGTACCATAACCCCCAAAATCAATCCCCACCTTCCTTTTGTGTGTATTGAACCTTATGGTTAAATTTCATAGAGATCCATTCACTTAAACTAAAGTTAGAGTGCGAAAACTAATGTGTCTTCGGATGACGACGACGACGACGGAGACCACGACAACGACGCCAACGTCATACCAATATACGACCACAAAAATTTTTTTGCGGTCGTATAAAAACGCCTTAACTACAAAATTATAACCAAATAAAAATAAACCAGTGACAATTCTGCTTCTATTCGTATCAAATTCATTAAAATCAAATTAGAATTGACCCCACAAATTTTTTTGAAAAACCATAGTTTTGAATGAAAAATTGAAATTCACAGCGAAGCGTAAAATTGTAGGTAACGAATAATTATATTGCATGTGAATTTGTGTGTTGAACAAGAAAGACATTGGCATGTCCATTTTTAAGCAATTGAAAATTTTATGATGTTTTATATTTTATTATTTATGTAAAAAGTATAAAAGATAATAAGGGGTATTCGACCACTAATACAACAAAAGTCCACATTTATAAGCCGAAGAAAAAGCCAACAGCAAAAAAAAAACCCATCAGATTCCGTCCACAAAACATTACACACTCAGAAACTAAGAATTGAGCACTATTACATTTATCTCAGAATAGGTAAAATCTATGTCATCCAAATCTCAGTTTTCAAGGTGCAGAAAATAAACAGGTGTCTTCTATTCCGTCCGCAATTTTTGGGGAAAGTAAAATCTAAATTTAGAACCATGGTTGAAACTGAAACTACATGTTCACATGTATGATAAAAATAGAACGTTTTATTTTTTTCTCTATCAAATTCCGATTTCGAAGGGATAGCGAAATTTGTTCTCTTTTGTTTTGCTTTTGTGTATCATTTAGCAGTAGTATAAGGTAGGGGAAGAAGGGGGAGGGGTGAAGAAAAATAAGGTCTACAATGTCGGGGCTTTTTATAACCGACTATAAGGTATGGATTTTTCTCATTGTTGAAGGCTGTATGGTTGCCTATAATAATTGCTTACATCCACATCATTTAAGGTAGCTGGGGTGTCTAAATGTTGGACGATAGATTTTTCTTAAACTTCTGTAAAAGACTTCTAGATCAATGTAATTTTAAATTTCAATATAAAAACTGGGGATCACGGACCTTGTTTTTTTGAATAACACATTGAAATTAACGAAATTTGGGTTATTTTATATTGCTAATATAGGGGAAACTTAAGTTTTCCTTATTGCGGAAACATTAAACAATAGAATTGACTAAAATTCGATGAGAGAATTGCTTTTCATCAATAACTCCGAAATATCAAATAAAAATAGGGAGTCACGGGCCTTATTTTCTTGAAAAAATCCCTAAAAATTTTATATATACTTTACGACACTTAATTTCTTGATAGTTCAATCTTTAAATTTCCATTTTTTATGTATTTTGTTGTATATTAAATGATACTTGGTAAAATATTTTTAAAACAAAAAAGTATTTTTGCAACATGATCAGAACGGACGCTCAGAAAAAGACACCCGATCTACCTTAAACTGTGGCAGATAGTTGTCTCATTTGCAATCATACCACATCTCCTTATTTTCATATTATATTAACAAATCTGCAATTCATTTGCATTATATACAGGAACAATTTGTATGGAACTACACTAGGTAAACTCGTATAGCATCGCCCTTGGTACATTCTTATAGCATTACACCAGTACATTTATAGTATTACACCAGTACATTTATAGCATATCACTATGCACAAAGCTTTAGCATTACATATACACAATGCTATAGCATTATACACAATACACACAATGCTAAGGCTAACACTGGGAATGATCTGTGCTACGTGAAGTTAAAACTCTGATCTGTTACTTTGCTAAAATTCATATGCGGGTTCTTCTTTTGACCTTATATAGCCATAAAAAATCTCAAGATAATATGCAGATGCATTTTTCTTATTTTTGGGGAGTTGTGCATGTGGATATTTAACATAATAAATTTATAATGGTACAAAAAATTATTTTCTTTTTTACTTAAAATCTCCAGCAAACATTATATCATACTTTGTCGTGTAGTTAAAGAAAAGGGAAAGCGATCGAGACAAGAAATTTAAAAATAAAATTGCAGAGTTGTGTCACGTGCACGCGTGTGAACCTGACAAATAAAATGGGCTTTGTGCGCAATACCTCGAATAGCGCTGGAAATGGTGAGGATGAAAAGATGCAGCAAATTATATTCACTTTTTTAAAATACAAACATGCAGAAATAAGATTTAAAAAAAAAATGTGTATACGCGATCCCAATATTATAACCGATTATTTAAATACGTCTAGAATCATTCTGTCAACGCTGTGTTAACTGGGACAATTTTAAACTTGATATTTGATTCATAATTATTAGAACAATACAATATAAAAAAAGAAGATGTGGTATGATTGCCAATGAGACAACTCTCCACAAGAGTCCAAATGACACAGAAATTAACAACTATAGGTCACCGTACGGCCTTCAACAATGATCAACGCCCATAGTCAGCTATAAATACTTGCATTTCAAAAAAGATATGGAACCCTGTCTAATTAAGAAAAGATGGAGTTAAAGTCTATACAGTAACTTTCTTTCACTTGCAGTATATTTATTTGCCAATTTGCTTTTTTTGGGGCAGCAGAAATATCCTTAAAAAATAGTCAGTTTATTTCCTTATCAATTGATTACACTTGAGCATTTGCAATAATTTGGAAAATGGGTTATACACACTCTAGATGTTGTTACGACACTACGGTATAATAGCATTATAGTGTAGAAATTGTGATGACGTTACAGTAGACATCAATAACGTCGCCGAATGTTTTTATTCTTTCCGCTAAAAATCAAACTTCTACAGGATATAGCTTGAAAACTAGCAAGGTTGCTAAGGACTTTCTTTGCACCAATGGGTTCGTCGTTCATTTTTGAATCGCATATCGATTTTAAAAAAAATTCTGTGGACCAACGAATAAGAAAATCTTGCTAAAGTAAAAATATGTGCCGATTTTTATGATTTTCCCTATATATCCTTTGTAATTTTGGCGTATCATGCTGTTAATTTCAACAGCTTGTATCAGAAAAACGAAAACAGTAACCCCCTTTTTTTATTTTATTGTCTGATGTATTTTTACAAGCAGAATCCACATGTAAAATTTAAAAAAATTCTGTGGAGTAGTTAATTACGTACACTTCGCCTTAATCCGAATTATTATACTGTTCAAATTTACTGTCTGTCAACTTGACAAATATTGAAAAACCAATACTTTGACAACATAACGTTAAATATTTCAGTCTCTGGGATAAACTGTCAAACAAGTTTCTGCTATCTTTTAAATTGTAATTGTCCCGAAACAAATTCACTGACGGACTATTTTACCTCACAGACATTCAGGTTGTTGTAATACTAATTACTTGAAAACTATCTGTTCCATTTAAACTATCAAATGTTAACAATACACACAGTATATATTTATCCTCATCTGAGATTCAACTTTATATATAGGAAATTGTCTCATTTTACTTATCACTCCTTTCTTTTAATGGTCTAAAATACTTCCATAACTCAACAAGTCCCCTGGGAAAAAAACAAAACACAATTTTAAGTAACGGACCGATTTAATCCTGAATAAAACCGCCAAAACATAATTATTTGACAACCGTGCGCGCCATAATTACAATACGACAAACAAAATTGATATCTCGTGCGAATATTTGAAACAAGAGACATAAGGGCGAGGCATAGTGTGTTTGTGTGAACAAAACCTACCTGGGAGTTCTTTATTGTCCTGATGGACAAAATATTAATGAATTCTCCTGAACTGATCATTCCTGATATAATATCTGCCCTGACAATAGTCAAAACTCCAACTCCCAATTCCAGTCAGTTCTCAACATCTGACTTCAACACTGTCCAGGTGTTATACTGACAACACCCTATCTCAAGACTAGTGTTTCTAAATTAACCTGCCTTAAAAGTTTCTCACCTTCACATTACCTGTTTGTCAAACTTGATTTCTTTTGTTCTATTTATAAATCACTAAGATTTAAATCCAGGTAACACTCAAAGAAGGATAACTCAAAAACTTTACAGTAACATAGGGTTTTGATTGCATTTTATGCAATCTTTTCCCCAAAAATGATTTTTTTTAAAAAGTACTGTACTTCATTTGGGAACAATTTTGCCAAAAACTATAGTAAAAGTCTGTTAGCGCTAACTCAAAATATGGACAATTTTATGATAAGGAGGTTTATAATTCAGTTTGACTTCTTCAGGCATTCTAATTATTGACCTTTTCAAACTGGACCAAATCTATACTTTCTCTCATAGATTGCTCCGTAGGGCGCAGCTTCATACAACTAGAAAGATGGACCCCTGAACAGTTTGAGCAAGTATGGCCACTATACATTCAAGCTTGATACATCTCTGAATTTGGGTTGTGATTAATTATTTGACATGTTTTTGCAACAGAATGAATGTGAACAAAGAACATAAAATTGGAAATTGGAAATATATCTTTTATGGTACAATATCCAAAATATAAATACATGGTAAAATTCAGCAAATCAACAAACCCCAAGTATTCAGTTTTTGATGAAATCAAACAAACTTTAATTTTGAACCCTTTTGACCCCAATGTGGACCAATTTGATAATGGGGCTCAATAACCATATCTGAATACATGGTAAGATGCAGCATATCAAGAACCCCATATATTCATTTTTTTGTTCAAATCAGAACAAAGTGTATTGTTGGATACCCATTTAGACAAACTCAAAAACAGGGGCCCAAAGTAAAATATCAAAATACAGTGCAATTACTTGTTTAAACCAACACCTGAGTATTCGTACAACTTGTGACATCTGACGAAAAAATTTCTCGTCCTGAAATGTCTATAACAATCTTTGTTAAGAAAACTTGTGTATTTCAAAACCTGTCACTTACGTAATCTGACACTGATTTCAAGTCCACATGCTATTAGTTGTACCTAATTAATCCTTTCTAATCTGACCTTTTGATCTGATATAATTAATACATCAAAATAAATAATTGTCAGAATTTAATGTGTATCATGATCACTGAACTGGCAAACAAATTGACATGATTGTGCACTTGATAGATGGAAAGGTGAGTTGAGGTACGAAACGAAACGTTGTAGGATTTATTCAAGGAAGCAAGTGAATTTGCATTAGTTAAAGATGACAACTACCCAGGTCCCAATAACAACATTTAATAACAATGACAGAAAAACACTATTGTAAAACTGAAAATTTTGAAGAAAGGTCACCAATCAAATCTTGATAGTTTCATCGAACAAATTTAACTCTTACCTGAAATCTGTTGTAAAATATTTATTGTGGTATATGTATTATATCAAAACTATTTCATCCTTAAATAATAACCATGATTTTGAAGAAAAGTCTCATAAATTAAACCTTTATAAATGCACAGTAATGACACATACATAGTTATTTCCTGTGATATTGTTTGTGCATACTTACACTGTTCAAAAGGGAAACCTGACAATTCTGACACCTTGTACAATATGACATATTCAGCGTAACATGGAACCCCAAGAATTCTTTTTTTGTTGAAAATAAACAAAGTTTGACCTTTTGGAATAATATACCATAATAATGGTGCCCAAAATCTAAATCTATTTACACCTTTAGATTCAGCATATTAAAGAAACACAAGAATTACAGACTTTGAATTAAACCCCATTGAAATTGGTCAATAAATAAGCAATTTATACAAAGTATTAGAAACATGTATTGTTTAAGGCCCCTTTTTTCGTAAAATTAAGAACCTAACACTCAATATCAATCCCAGCCTTCATAATTTGTTATGGAACCTTGTGGTAATAGTTTCAAAGAGATCCATATACTTATACTCAAGTTATTGTCTGGAAACCAGAAAACCCTAGAATGAAGTGGACAAATGCTGATCCTGAACATACATCACAAAACATATGTTAGTACTTTGTTCAGAGGTTTACAATAAGATACCAATTTAAGGATGTACACCTCTGAGGAGCGAAAAACTTCTAGAATTAATCTTTTTTTCTTAACCTGATTTTCGGGGTTTATATGACTGTAAAAAAGTAATTGGTGAAGAAAAAAATCAAATGGTGGTGCACTTCCTTTTTTGCTACGGCGCTTTGAAAATACCCAATTTTGATGATTTTCCCATTTTACTTCAATTTTTACCTATTTTTGGGCTATTATCGCGAAATAAATCACAGTTCCACAATTAAACTTTTTTTCATACGTTCAATAAAGATTAAGTGGACCAATCTGAATAAATTTAACTTAAAAAAACTATATGTACGTGTTAATATAAGAAAGTTTTATCATGTTTTGATGCTTTTTTGTGTCAAATTTACCATGTTGTCAATTCTGTAAATTTATGATTTTTCTCAATTTTAAACACAAAATGCATATTATTTCAACTTTTTTGTTATAAATGATTGAAAAAATACACATCTTAGAAATTTGAAAAGACAAAAATAATATGGGATGAACATGACTCTTGTAAAATCTTTTTTTGTACCCCTCACCCATTTTCTCAAAATTTTGGCTAAAGACTTAAAATTGGTCGTAAAATTTGAAAACTGGATTACTCAAAAAACTATTCATTGTAAATGCACAATTTTTTCAGAGTTATGTTTGATTATAATATTTTTAAAATTCATTGATATTTTCCACTTGTATCACATGTTTTGGAAATAATTCCAGAATGAGATTTCAACCAGACTGAAACGTCAGCAGAATACATTCTTAACTTTATACCTGACATTTGTATTCCTCGGGTCCTGTGAAATAACACACAGCATTGCTGTCACAAGTGTGAACACCAGACAGACAGAAATCTGCTAGCATACATCCAGTTCTAGAACTGCCTACATAACCTTCTTTGCAAAACCCACAGTAAAAACTACCCTGAAAAACAGAAATATCTACTAAAATATATTAACAAGCAGAGTTAAGACTGTGAGATTTTTGAATCGTTAATATAAAGTAACATTAGTGACATAAGTTTTCTTATTAGTCAATATACAAACTGATCCCCTGCTTAGTATATAGGATTTTGTTTGGTTAACACACTTTGTTACAAAACTTATAGACCAGGTGTTGCTAACCCATATCCCCCGGAAGTTGCTTCCCATTACACAGAGAACTTCAAGCATGTTTTCCTTCAATTTTGTTCAATGGTTGTTCCTTGCGTAATATTGAATTCTGTAGCTTATCAATGTCTAACTGTAATTCAATATTTAATGCACGAACAATTAAATCATATTATACCAATCATTTCAGTAAATGCATCACTTGGCTGCCACATTATCAATGAATAGGACTACTGACCTAGCTATGCAAATGAACCATGTTGACGTTACACTGTCTATGACATGATTCTCCATCATTGAGCACAAAATTTGACTCATTCCAGTTTATCTCTGGATTAAAACGTCTTATATTTAACTACCTGTAGAGTTCAACCAAAAAAGTACACTACACCCTGTTAAAAAAATGTCAAAATTCAAAATTTCTATAAAGCTTTTTAAAATAAGGAAAAAAAACGTTACTTTCACATTACACTTTGTTGTCATTAATTTCTCTAAAAGTCACCAGATTTGGAATAAGACAGGGTATAAATTTTTTATCCAAGTTTATATCCGTACTGATGTATTGTGATAATAAGTGGATACTTACTGGTGTATTGTGACAATAAGACTGATAGTGGATTTTAACTGGTGTATTGTGACAATAAGGCTGATAGTGGATACTTACTGGTGTATTGTGACAATAAGTGGTTACTTACTGGTGTATTGTGACAATAAGGCTGATAGTGGACACTTACTGGTGTATTGTGACAATAAGACTGATAGTGGATACTTACTGGTGTATTGTGACAATAAGACTGATAGTGGATACTTACTGGTGTATTGTGACAATAAGTGGTAACTTACTGGTGTATTGTGACAATATGACTGATAGTGGACACTAACTGGTGTATTGTAACAATAAGACTGATAGTGGACACTTACTGGTGTATTGTGACAATAAGACTGATAGTGGATACTTCCCTTACTACTATCAAAGAACTTGTTATTAACTTTTGTAATAAAGCTTATGAAAATAAAGGTATTAATTATTTTTGGAGTTTTAAAAATTCTTTAGAGGTTTTAGATAAAATACATGCTTTTGATGGTTTTATACTACACTTCCACACAATCTTATCAAGCAAAAGTTTTCATATTTAATTAAATGGTCTTTTGAAAAATCTCATTACAAATTTATTTGCTGTAACTCGTTTAAAGCCTTTTTCTGTAACGAAAAAGGAAAGTATGCTAGATACACTTACTGGAATTGTGAAGATATGATTGAAGCTTTAAATTTTCTCCTGGACAACATATATGTATGTTTCGGCGATAAAGTGTATCGACAGGTAGTAGGTATTCCTATGGGCACTAACTGCGCCCCTTTAATAGCAGATTTATTCCTGTATTGCTATGAATCTCAGTTTATCACCAAACTCAGTAAAGACACGTCATTGTTACATTTGGTTGATACATTCAACAATACCTTCCGGGTCCGTGTATATTTGCGTCCATTCGTTTTTCATTTTGAAACATCAAAAACAAAAAACAAAAAACGAGTGTTTTCATTTTTCGTTTTTGATTTCTCAAAATTTGCGCAATTTCACAATTTAAACCGGGATTAGCATTCAATCATTTTGCCGTTTGGAGCCTATTCGGTATTAGTTTTGCTTATTTGTGAAAGTTATATTGTGACCTTAACTGGAGGGTGTGGATTGGGGTTTACGGAATAGAGAATAGTGGGCAAAAAATATATATAAAAGAGACAATGAACCAGGACATAAAAAAATAGAATATTGAGGTGTTTAAATATAATTAGAACAAAATAATTGGCAAAAAGTAAAAAGAAATAAAGAATAGAGATAAATGGCCTAAAACACTAATTTAAGAATAGAGAAAAATGGTATAACATATCAAAGAATACAGAAATGAAGAGCCCCGCATCCAGACCATCGTATTAGTTGCCTAAACCAACGTTATTTTGTCTCCGGTAGATTGTTATTGGTTATCATACGTTTTCTTTCTTTTTATTTCTGTGCCTATCAATTAAGACATGAGCTTTCATAATTTGCCAGCTTATTACATTATAAAAAAAGACTAAGCCGAACATCACCCTGGATTTTTTCTCAAGTAGACCTCAGCTACCCACCCTACCACACCATTACCGAAAAGTTAATAAAAAAATGTCTACGGCAATACTTTTGTCCGCACTAGGTGCAAAGGGAAGCTGGGTAGCTGAGGTTTACAGTAGAAAAAATCCAGGGTGTTGTTCTGCTTAGTTTTTTTTCTAAAGTTGGTCCAAAGTTGAGGTCGGATACTCTACCCAACCCTTCCCGAAAAGATAATAAAAAAATATCTACGTCAATACTTTTGTCTGCACTAGGTGCAAACGTAAGCTAGAGATCTAGCGCATACTTGATCAAAATTCCTAGTTTAGGTATAGCACGGATTATTTTTTTTAAAGCTAATAAATAATTTCCTTGTTCACCATACTTTGAGTACAAAAAATAAACCTTTCGTCCAATCATAAGTAAGCGAAATCCACTGGTTCAGAAGTAGAATGTTTTGTCAAAACAGTTTTGAGTGGCAAAAAAAAAGTTAAAGCACGAGTGAAACTTTCTTTTCTTCTAATACAGAACAATGGTTACTTTTCATGAACTATTTGACAGGATGCCGATAATATGGAAAGCTATTTCACACAATAGTGCAATTTTGCCAACACTTAAAATAATTTCATAATTATTTACGATTCTATATACACTTAAAAGTGTTGACTATTTAAAATGTAAAGCGTGCAGCACGCTGTGTGATATATTGAAAGCGATTTCTATTGCATTTATATAATTAATGAACAAGAAATGAAATTTTAAAATTCATTGAATAATGTCTTTGACTGCTTAATTATTTATTAAAAACTGATAATATAGTGGTTATATATTAATAAAAACATCTGAAGAACGTTTGAATCTTATGCAACATTTGGGTTTATATAAATATCTGGAAACTGGCTGCTAGCGAAGTGGCTGCTAGCGAGTGGCTGCTTGCTTGAGCCTGGTCTTACAAACTCCGCATTTTCATTCACGTCTTCACATTACAGGTTGCAACACCTTGCCAAATTATTGGGTTCCAATAAACGTTTAGCAAATTATGCCAATGTGCTTTCCAATGGGATTTTATGCAGAACAATTAACGGAAGTCTATGGTAGTTTGCAAAATAATAGTCAAAATCGAAATCTAATTTTTTATTGATCTTTTTGGTGTTCAAACTACAGTGCATACATACATTTTTACAAGACATAAGTGAATGACATGACATTTATGGCATTGTTATACTATTGATATTATGCGAATAAGACATAGTAAAAAATTTACAAGTTGATGATGTGAATACTCAGTATATGATACATCTTAAAAAATACTTTGGAATACATTAAATATATACTCAGATTAAAAATAAATTTAATTAAATAACTTCCATAAATCCCCCCATCTGTCGACAAATGACTCGTGTTTGTCTTTAGAAAGATATAAATATTCTAATATCTCTAGACGTCTTTTCAAGAATTTAAGAAAAGCTTGCACAGATATTAACAGTCTGTCTAATTGTGTGTTCTTTACATAATTAATGTAATACTTTGCCTGTAGAATACAATAATTTAAAACTACGTTATCAGAATTCAATACACCAAAAATGACACTATCTTTATTCAAAAATATTTTTACTCCAAAAACTAAATACCACCAATTAGAAAATTCTCTCCAAAACTGTTTTGTTTCTATACATTCAAAAAATTTATGCTCTATAGTTTCTATTTCTTTACAACTGGCACATTCATTAGTTAAGGAAAGTTTATATTTTTCAAGAAGATAATTATGTGAGACTATTCTGTGTAACATTTTATATTGGAAAGCTTGTAGTTTACTTTCTATAGTACATTTAAAAGCTAGTGAATAAATATTTTTCCATTTTTCGTCACTAATTTCTATATTAAAACTTTCTTCCCACCTTTGTTGTGAAATAGGAGAAATACTTCCCCGATCGATAAAAAGTGAATATACATCTTTAGCAAATAATTTACTGATAGGCTTTTTTTTATTCTCATGCTCAAAAACGAATCCAAATGAGTTGCTGTTAGGTGACATGTGTTGTTGTAATAACAAATTTTTCCAATCACGTGGTATAGCAAGTTTAATAGATAGAATGTCTACAAAAGTAACATTCAGGTTATATTTTTGGTTAATAGCGTCTTGAGACAAAAATTCGCCTTTATCATCTACAATATCATTGATGAACCTTATGCCTTTCATGTACCAAGATCTGTAAAAAATACTCGTTCTGTCAATTTTGATAAACGGATTGAACCAAATAAATTCTTTTCTAACATGAAATGCATTTAACGGGATGAAAATACCCTTGAAACGTTTCCAAGCAGATAACACTTCTATATAAAAAAGAGGTGCTTTTAAATTTAAAAACTCAAATTCACATCTGCTCATAAATAAATCCTCTAAATCAAAAAGGGGGAAGAATGCTTTGGAAACATGTTTCCATTTGGAGTCATGTTCTGACAGAAATCTTTTTACCCACATAATACGAAAGGATAACAGCTGTTCTTCAAAATTTGGGGCTTTTAGTCCCCCCTCACTAAGAGACTTTTGAATAACTTCCGATTTAACTTTCGGAGTACTACCATTCCATAAAAAACTATTAATGTCACGTTGTATTTTAATTACATAAGATTTTGGTACATGTGTAAATGAAATGACATAAATAAGCTTCGATATTGCAAGTGATTTAAGAATTACAATTTTACCGATCAAGGAAAGGTTTCTGATCCTCCA